TGAACCAAAGGCACATCTAAAAGATGCAGGATACCGGCCCCCAGGAACTGGAATTGCCCACCCCTGCAATATATGCTCAGAATATTGGTTTAAATGAAGTCGACCTGGGGTTCAATGATGCATGCTACCACCAGGAGGAGCAAGAGACCACGAGTTGGTGTTTGAGCTGCACCAGTAGATCCCTGTGAGCAGGCGGCGTAAAGCTGGACTGCTGAGTAGGATGCAGTTCAACTCATGATTATTCTGCTAATTGATTAATTAAGCCATCATTTTTTGGATTAAATATTTTTTTACCAAAAGAAACAAAAATTTTCCTCATGAAGAGTTTTGGATTATAGAGCACATTGACAGAAGAAAAACATTTTTCATCTTAGTTGCAAAATTGCACATTTTTTTTTATAATCTTGGTATAATTCCTGCTAAAGGCATGATTTAGAGTCTCTATACTCCAGTTAACACTGGACTGGGCGTGCAGGTGGCGCAGTGGTTAGTGCACACGACCCATCGGAGGCCTTAGTCCTCGACGCGAATGGGACTGGATCCTTTGCCGCATGTCTCTCCTCCTCTCTCATGCCGCCTTTCCTGTCAGCCTACTGTCAGAAAAACGAGCCACTAGTGCCGTAAAAACAAAAAACAATCGATTACTAAATTAGTTTACGATTATTATAATAATAATAATACATTTTATTTGTAATGCACTTTACATTTAAGAAAAATATCGGAGTGCTACAGGTAAAAATCATTATCAGAAGGTAAAAGCAAAAACGTAAAAGCTAAAGATCATTGTAAAGTATATATAAATAAATAAGTCGGTGGCATAATTATAAAAGGTTATTTCAATCATTTCAATAATCGATTAACCTGATTGTTTCAGCAGTGATTTAAAGAAGCTTGTCTGGTTTAAAAAGTCATCCTGAGAATCAAACCGGCTGATTGGACAGAAAGTTTGTGCGGCTGAATGCAGCACGGTGGTCCTGATCAATAGAGGGACTCGCTAACGTGGCGGAGCGCGGGCTCTGCTGTCAGCTAATGAGGACACATCTTAGCGCACTCACAGACACTTTGTCCCCTTTGTTTGTTTTGCCTCTTTAATAATGAATGTCGTGTCGCTCAGCTGGTTTACTGCAGCCTCAATAGGTTGGTTTGTGGTCGTGTGAATCTAGCATGTGAAGGTGGTGATGAATGTTGGTCAGTCCTGCTCTGACCCGTGGTTCTGCTTTGAGCCTGTTTTCATGTCCCTCCTTGGACCGGTTCTTTTTCCTGCTCTCAGGTTGCATTCTCCTTATAACCGTCATGTGAACAGCGGAGGAAAGCCAAGACTCAGGCTTAGCTGTCTCTTTGTCAGGCCGCCATGCCGGCCCAGCAGCGCCTACCAGCCCTGGAATGTTTTTTTTCTATTATTGATATTCATGTAGAAGTCCTTCCTCTCTGCATGCTGGTTCATACATATTTAATCTGCAGTCAGCTCTTAAAGATAAGGAGATGAGGGAATATGAAGGGCTGGGTATTAATTGGAGCCCATGGAGGCCTGCTGGTGCCACAGAGTCCCGTCTGCCGTGTGTAGCTGTGTGCATGGAGAGGATGGGACATCTGAACAGTTCAGAGCATTGAACTGATAACCATCAGCTCTGTCCACACTACTGCTCCAGCAATAAACCCCGGCCAGAGAGAAAACCCGCCCGTTCTTTTCCTAAAATGATTTTATTTACTGTTGTGTGGCTGATCAATCTGAAGCTGAAATCTGTTTTTCAGCACCTTAATTTCTCGTCTGTTAAAACCTGGCCATGCTCGTACCTCTGGCTTCAGCCGGGGGGAGCCGAGCGGCCGTTTGGGTGGATTTAAAAAAAGCAGGGTTCTGCAGAGGAATACAAGATGCTTTTAAAGGAGACGAGATAAGGGCCATTAGGGGATGTCGCCTCACTGTCTGCGTGAAGACGTGTCCGGCGCCTGGCCTCCACTGAGCTCGTGTCAAATCAAAGTCAACCTGGAACACACATCTTGGCACACGCTATCTGTGCTGTTTGCAACAGTTGGTGTGAAGGTTTAACAAAGGTCTCTGATCTCCTGCTTTCTAAAACCTTTGACCTGTTGATGCCAGAAAGAAGGAGGAATTCTTTCCTCGGTTAGCCGTAGGGCCGCTAATTGCATCTGCAATTAAATTCAAACTGCAGAGGCGCTCAATGTTGCTCACATTACATTTAAAGGAACAGTTAGAATTCACACTTCTGAAAGTTCTTTAAATCTGAAATGATTCCATCCTGTTCAATAAATGATCAGTGTTTTTAATTCAGAGTAATTTCCATGTGAATGTGCTTTACTGGAGGCATCCATGTTTGTCATGGACCTACTGGTGCCTCAACCCTGCTACTGGTTAGTGACGTCACGGTGCGGCTGTTGATCAAGTCCCAGTGCTGTATCTGGTGGACTTGCGCTTTTCTCCTCCTCTTGAGCTCCGGTGGGCTCTCTGCCCAGCAGGCTCCTCCAACCTACCTCCATAGTTCCTTGGCTCTAGAGGAGGACGTGGCTGGCGGCCTTATCCCAGTCATGGTGCTCTCTCAGCCGCTGTTCTCACACTGGCTTCTGCTGTTTCTGTCTGAGCTCAGAATGCTGTTTGCTCTTGACTCTGTTGTTGGATGATTTGTCCATGTTTTGGGCTCTGTGATCAGAACAAACATGGACCAAGGAGAGAGATTTGTGGCTGCTAAGA